ACAAGACTGTTTAAAAATTAGCTTTCAGGTTATACTTTCACAGCTTCTGTTCTAGATTTCCAAGCTGTGTTTCAGTTGTGAAGGTATATGTTTTTTGTCTTTAATTTCTTTAAAAAATTTTTTTTAATTTGTTTATTTTTGAGAGAGAGAGAGCAAGTGACAAAGCATGAGTGGGGGAGGGGCAGAGAGAGAGGGAGACACAGAATCTGAAGCAGGGTCCAAGCTCTGAGCTGTCAGCACAGAGTCCGACACAGGGCTCGAACTCACAAACTGTAAGATCATGACCTGAGCTGAAGTCAGACACTTAACTGACTGAGCCGCCCAGGTGCCCTTGTCTTTAATTTCTGATACTTGGTTTTGTTTGGGGATGTTTTGAATGTATTGCTCTTTTGTTAGAAAATTTTAACGATAAAGGAAAATATAACAACACTGTTCTTGAACTGGATACGAAATTTGTATTCTAGTGGTTAAATCTGTTATTGACTCTTTTATTAGTAAAGATATTCTGTTTCATGAGTTTCACTTCTGCCTGATGAATAGCTACAGGAAGAAAGTATTCTTATATATATTAAAACTAAACAGAGTAAAATAATATAATCACTTCAAACTGTCTTTCAAAGCATATCTTATGGTAATCCTCCTTGTTGGAATAGGATGGCTACAGGTAGGGACTAATAGACCTAATGAAGAGAGCAGCGTTATCAGAACACAAAAAGACCATGCTTGCTGTATAAAAATGTTAATTTAGCCATTTTTGCACTTTATATTTTCTCTGGTCTTTTCCAAACGCCAGTCTTCTAACCCTGTAGCATGTGATACTTTTCTTACGCCTGGAGTTTAGATCTCCATAGCCCATTCTAAACTAGGCTGCAGGCTAGGCCTGTCTTTTCACGTTCAGAGACCCAGAATGTTCGTTAAGACATAAAAGGGAACATGCTTGTCCTCCCCATCCACACCCCTCACTCTCAACTCTCCCAGAGGCTCTTTGGACAGCATTCCCCTAGCTGGCTTCCTCTAGGCGACCATCCTCTGCCACTGTCCAGACAGCTTTCTCATTAATTACATGGGCTGTATATTTGTGAGAGCATATAATGGTGCCTCAGCCTGAGGGTGAAAATCAGAACCCAGCCAAGTCCATTGGGAGAAATGGGAATGCTTCTGCTGGGGTGGCAGATCGGCTTCATTTTGCTTGCTCCAGTCACAGTGAGAGTGGCTATCTGGAACACTCCCTTGAAAAGAATTCGGAGCAAGTGCTAGGGGATTGGTTAGCAGAGTTCGTGGGATCTGTGAACTGGGTGTGGTGGCTTCTTGAGAGGAACCTGTTTACTAGAAAGAGCATGTGTGGCATTTAAAAAAATGTTTATTTATTTATTTTGAGAGAGAGAGAGAGTGCATGGGGAGGGGCAGAGAGAGAGAGGAGAGAGAAAGAGAGAGAGAGAGAGAGGGAGGGAGGCAGGGAGGGAGAGAATCCATCCCAAGCAGGCTCCACGCTGTCAATGCAGAGCCTGATGTGGGGCTCAGTTCCGTGGGATCATGACCTGAGCTGAAACCAGGAGTCAGATGCTCAACCAACTGAGCCACCCAGGCGCCCCAAAAAGAGCATATATGACATTTGTGATCAAAGGATCAGTGATTGCGTCTCAGCTGAGCACTACGTGACCTTGTGTGGGGTTTCCTGTGCAGTCTGAGTGTGCTCATTTGCAGAATGCAATAATAGTCACACTTCACAGGGGAGGCAAGACTGCTCCAGTGGTATAAAATGGGACTGGTGGTGGTGGTTTCTTGAGGAGGACAGGTTAACGTGACGGCACTGTGGGCTACAAGGTGAATCAGGAGGGTCTCACTGAATTTGGGGAAAACATTTCTACATTTGAAAAATTTGCCTATTGAAACGTGGCACTCATGAAAGGTACAACTTTGATTTCACTGCTGAGCCTTTTTCCCTCACTGTGTGTAACCTGGACATAGTCCCTTGGTTTATAGCTTCGGGAGTTTAAAACATTAGCCTAGAATATTAATTCAACACAAAGGGCCGAGAAGAGTGGCTCATTTTTATGTGTTTGTTTCCTGGGACTGTCTGTTAATACTTAGTTCTTAGTCATTGAGTCTGATACCCTAAAATTATTTGTGCTGTAATCTTTTGTCTCTCAAGATTTCCAGAAGTCTGTTACTCTCTGTGGTGTTAACAGTGTCATCTCCCTGCAAAGTCTTTCAGCTTCTCCCTGAACCACTAGTACAGCAGAATTCTTTTTCACTCTGAACGAACATCCGGTTTGACTGTCTTCCCCACTCGACAATAAGCTACCTTGTGGTGTTTGCTGTAATATGGATGTGATGCTTAGCATAGTGCTTGGCATGTGTTTGTTGCCTCATGGGTAATTTCTGAACTTCTGAACAATTGAATGAATTGCTTAATGAATGTTCTAGCATTCTGCATTTTACTTGGCTGTTGACGTGTTTGCCCCACTGAAATACTAATCTTTGGGGCTAGGACCGCGTGTTATTTGTCGTTGTATAACCCAGTTTCAAGAAGAATGTTGGGAACGTAGTAGGTGAACTGATTTACAAAATTTCTTAGGCAAATAGGATTTTACAATAAATCCAGTTTTTTTCCCAAAATATATTTACCACAATTGTTTGAATTGAAATAGCAAATGTCAGAAACGTATTTCAATATCAGAACAGGACCATCTAGACAGGGGCTTATTTGAATTGAATAAGGAAGCACATTTGGATCAGAGTTCTAAAATTTGATTTAAAAATATTTCAAGTAAAAAGTTCAAACTTTCATTTCATTTTGATTTGCCCATTGATGTTGGACTCAAGTGAAAGGCACAGCTGCCATTATTAGCTTAATTTTTTTTTTTCAAATGTGGGAATATAAAAGTTAGCCATCTAAAGGCACCTGGTTGGCTCAGTTGGTAGAGCATGTGATGCTTGATCTCGGAGTCCTGAGTTTGAGCCCCGCATTGGGCATAGAGATTGCTTAAAAAAAAAAAAAAAGTTGAAAAAAATTAGCCAACCATGTGAAAACCACATATCTGATTATAATTTATATTTATTTTTAAAATTATTTTTAACCATTTTTACTGTGAATATTGCACACATATGGGAAATGCACAAAATATAAACAGCTCGGTTATTACCGAACAAGCAGTCATGTGTCTACCTACCACTCGAGTCTGACTATTCTCTTAAAGGTTGCCCTAGAGATTACAACATAACATCCTGGACTCTTTAAAATCTCCCATTAACTGGTACTTTCATTCTTTTCCTGGGCAATGCAAGGATTTAAGATCAGTTCAGTTCCAGTGATCTGCTCTTGACTTACATGGTATTGTCTATTTTGAATCTATTTATATTTTGCAGTCATTATTATTGTTATTAGGTTATCGATATTCACAGTTGCCAACATAATTATCATTTCTGTTATTCTTCTTTCTTTGTACCTCTTCAGCCTTTTATCTGGCATCATTTTTCTTTTGCCCAAAGAATACCCTTCAGTGCTTCTTTACTGCTGAGCTGCTGGTGACAAATTCCCTCCATTTTGTCCAAGAGCCTCTTTGTTTCATTTTTATTCTTGAAGGATTTTTTTTTTCTTGATATAAAACTGTAGGTTGGCATTTCTTCCCCAGCATTTTGAAGTTGGAACTCCATTGTCTTCTGCTTTTTTTTTTTTTTTTTTTTTTTTTTAATTAAACCAACCATCTGAACGTTTTCTTCTGTCTTAGCAACTCATTAATTTTCTTGCACTTTGTCTAATGGATGAGACTCATCCACTGTGTTCTTGATTTGGCTACTGTAGTTTCTCACTGTAGAGCTTCTGTATTCTTTTCAACTCTGTCATATGCTTCTTTTTATACCAGTTCCCTGCCAAAATTCTCCTTGTGTTTCTTCTTTATCTCCTTGATTTTCATAAGCATAGTCACTTTATTTATTTATTTATTTATTTATTAAAAAGATACTTTTATTTTTTTGATTTTTTTAAAAAGTTTATTTATTTTGAGAGACAAAGTGAGCACGAGCTGGGGAGTGGCAGAAAGAGAGGGAGAGAGAGAGAACCCCAAGCAGGCTCTGCACAGTGAGTGCAGAGCCCGATGCAGGGCTTGAACTCATGAACCATGAGATCATGACTTGAGCCTGAGTCAATTGGACACTTAACCGACTGAGCCACCCAGGCACCCCTAGCATAGTTCACTTTATTTAAAACAAAAATTTTTTTTAATGTTTATTTCTTTTTGAGAGACAGACACACAGAGCGCAAGCAGGGGAGGGGCAGAGGGAGAGAGAGACAGAATCTGAAGCCGGCTCCAGGCTCTGAGCTGTCAGCACAGAGCCCCATGCGGGGCTCAAACCCACAAACTGTGAGATCATGACCTGAGCTGAGGTTGGATGCTTAACTGACTGAGCCACCCAGGTGTCTCATCATAGTTCACTTTAAAGCACATGCTCATTAACTTCTATATCAAGAGTACTTATGTTTCTGTTGTCTGTTGTTTGTTTGTTTTAGTAAAACAAGTGGGTATTTTATTGGATTTTCTGGTTTCTATTCTGAGAGTTTTGTCTTTCCTGTTCGCTGTATTTTGGACATTGCATTTGAAAAATTAAAAAAATAATTCAAGGCATAGGATGATCTCTTTCTCCTCCAGGATTTTAATAGCTTTTATTAGGGGTCTAGCAACTGGGGATTGCCTTTATCCAGTTTCAAGACTCAGATGCTGCAAAGCTGGGCTGTGTCCCTCTAAAGGCTGGTCTTCTTCCGGTGTACCTTCCTCCAGTGGTGACCCTGAAGGGTCTTAGGGCAAAGCCCTGGGGGATCTGCCCCCACCCCCACCCCCACCCCCACCCGGCAGCCTCTTGATGCCCTGGCCCAGCAAGGCTGTCAGGGGTGCTGCTTAGGCTCTTAGCTCTTATCCGTCTTTTCCAGAATCGACAAATGCCCCTGGGGTATTTCTGCCTTTTCCTGGATTTTGGACCAGTAATTCTCATTGCCTCATTAGCTGCCACACCTTCTCACATACGTGGGTATTTTGTTCAGATTTCCTAGTTGTCCTCAGAGGGACATTGGTTTGTATTACCTGGTTCACCATTATTGGAAGTGGCAGATTCCTTATTTATTGTTATTTCACTATGACATTTCTCCCCCGAAATACCTATTTCCAAGATTTGACTTGAATGCCCAGCCAGATTTACTTGTCATTGGTCAGTTTCTTTCATTAACTGTTTTTTAGAGAAGCAAGTTCAATAATAATATTTTGTAACATAGTTTATATTAAAAATATTTTTGAAGTTTTAAATAATTGTCTCTAACTCTAAAAGCAGTATATGCTGATGTTAGACACTCTGGAAGATATGAAAAAAAGTAGAATGAAAATTAAAGGTACACGTCATCTACCTGGTTTGTATGTATGTAACATTGTACACTTTCGCGTTCTTGGTCTGTGATTTATACTTGTGAACATATCACACATATAAATAATAGAATTGGAATCATATAACATTTTTATACTGTAGTTTTCATTTAACATACTATGAACATTTCTTATTGTTAACTTTTTTCAAAATATGGGTTTTTATCCTTAGGATTCTGTTATTTTGTAGTAATATTATTAAGCCCTTCTCCTATTTCTTTTTTTAATTTTTTTATTTTTTTAATGTTTCTTTATTTTTGAGAGAGACAGAAAGAGACAGAGAGAGACAGAGTGCAAGCAGGGGAGGAGCAGAGAGAGGGAGGCACAGAATCCAAAGCAGGCTCCAGGCCCCGAGCTGTCAGCATGGAGCCCGATGCAGGGCTTGACCTCACGAATCATGAGATCCTGACCTGAGCTGAAGTTGGACGCTTGACCCACGGAGCCACCTAGGTGCCCCACCCTTCTCCTACTTCTGTTTGAAATTTTCATTATAGATAAATCTGCACAACAGTCATTTTTGGACACCACTTTTGTGCAAATTTTTAAAAAAATTTTTTTACATTTATTTATTTTTGAGAGACAGAGAGAGACAGAGCACAAGTAGGGGAGGGGCAGAGAGAGAGGGAGACACAGAATCCGAAGCAGGCTCCAGGCTCCAAGCTGTCAGCACAGAGCCTGACGCGGGGCTCGAACCCATGAGCCGTGAGATCATGACCTGAGCCGAAGTCGGTCGCTCAACTGACGGAGCCACCCAAGCGCCCCTTTTTGTGCAAATTTTTGGCGGTTGTGTAATTATTATTACCTCAGTGGGCTGGGGTGTTATTAAGGTGCTTTTATCGATGTTTTTAAAAAATGAGCTGATAATTACATTTAACATTTTCAGTGATTCAAACTACAGATATCACTGTTCACTTAGGATCTGAAAAATGATTTAAGGGTAGAAGCACTTTGGATCCCTGGAGAATATACAAGGGCCTGACTACTTAAGTAATTGGACAGAAGTTGAATTTATTTACATATGGAAGTAATCATTGTCAAGAACAAGGGAAAAATGTGTGATACCCCAGGAACACTTTGTCAATAGAATGGGAACAATTTGTATATGACCTACCAAAACAGACGAAGTCCAAAGGAGGTGAGCATTAGCTGAACAAGATCACAAATATGCCCACTCTTTCTTTTACATTTAGCTCAGCTGTGGTCATTGCATCATCTGCTCCTGGAAAGTCCTATCATCTTCTTGGTTCTCATTTCTGGTGACATTTCATTCTTGGTCAGAACTGATGATTGGATAACTTCCATTTTCTCTCTTAGAGGAAGTCCTTCTTATCAGGTGTTCTTAGGGCTTTGACTTAATTCGGCCTTTTCCAGCTGATTCTGTGTAGTAACTACCATGGCTAGTCCTCCCCCGGCCCCTTTGCACAGACCTTGGTCCTCACGGATCACCCTGTCACCCTACTCTATTCGCTATATATACCACCCAGGGCATGCCACATTCCTGTCGGCAGTTGAGGTTTTAGGACACAGTAAATATGTGTCATCACACGTTTTTGTTATGAAAATTTCACCATGTGATGAAAAGAACACAGTGGTGACTGGTCATAATGACCTTCCCATCACATTTTTGTTTTATCTGTGTCCTTTCTCCCTGGACTGTCTCGTGAAGAACTAGGGCAGCTGGCAGGGCATTTGGCCCCAGGACTGTGGTCTGTGGCTGGGGAACAGAGAGAAGAGCCACAGGGCTGGCGGTACAGAGGAGACGATGACAGTGTGCAGAGAGCCGCAGGCACAGCCAGGAATCGGACCCAGGGCCTGCTGTGGAGCAAGAAGAACACCGAACCAGGAGCCAGAACTCAGCTGTCAGGAATGACATGAGCTGGAGCGAGCAGGAGCACCAGTAAGACTAGGCATCAGGCGGTCAGAACAAAACTGAGGGCAGGCCTGAACACCAAAGGTAGAATAAAAAGAGAGGGGCAGATGGACAAGCTAACGTGATTCTTTGGACCTCCTGGAAATTCTTTCCAGTTCAATGTCTCTAAAATCAGCCTGATCTTAGTCCCTCTGTGATCTCCCCTCTTATTTCTGATAATAACAAGATACATCCCGTCACCCAGCCTTGAAATCTCCAATCTGGTTTGCATCCCTTTGTCTTTGCATTTAGTCACTTCCTGTCTCTAGTGATGCTGCCTCCACATGGCAAGGCCTTGTGGTTCCAACCATGGCTCTTCCATTCTAGGACCTGAGGAAAGGTCCCATAACCTCTGAAAGTAACGTGTAAGACCAGAGTCTCAGCGCTGTCTTGAGAATTAGAGGGCAGTGGAGAAAACCTTGGTTACTCCTCAGCAGACCTTTGCACTGCTGTCCAGATCCAGGGCCTGCCTCCTGCCTAGGCTCCCTGCCTCTTCCAGCTTGATCTTCCTAATGACATGGCTCTAATCGTGTCTCATCCCAGCTTATGAGCTATTCATTAGCTATTAGCTTGAAGCCCCAGCTTCCTGTCCTGCCCCTGAGGACTCTTCACCATCCGGCCCCAACCTGCATTTCTCTTCTCATTCCCTTACATTTACCCTTCGTGTGCTGTGTTCAGTCACATCTAACTACTTGCTATATTCAGTACAGGCCCCATCCCAGTGGCCCTACTCAGACTTGAACGTGTTCTTTTCCACACCGCTCAGTTTCCAAAATCTTCCCATCTTTCCAGCCCCTGTCCAAGTGTTCGCATCTCTGCTGCACCTCCCCATGACCTCAGTCTCAGCCTCAAGTTTCAGTAATACCTTTCTCTGAACTTCCATTACTCTTGCTCTGAACTCTTGGCATGCTTACTGCTGTATGCTTTGTGTTATTTGGGCACATGACTTACTTAGCCTTGTATTCGGAGTCCTGGAGAATTCTTGCTAAGCACTTAGCACAGTGCCTATCTGTTGCTGCAGTTAGTAAATGTATTGTGATAAGTAAACTAGGCATGGGGATAATAACAAGCTGATTAAGAGCTGACAGTTGTTTTCTCCACTGAGTATTCTTAGCTCCCTTGGCAAGCATCAGTTGACCATATATGCATGAGTCTTCTCTGGGCTCTCAATTCTGTTCCATTGGTCCATGTGTCTGTTTTATGCCAGTGCTGCACTGTTTTGATTAGTATAAATTTTGTAATAAAATCTGAAATCAGAAAAAAAAAAAAAAACCCAGAGAATTGACAGATGCGTCGAAACTATAAGGACAGGGAAGCCACGGCGTAGCACTGGTTCAGATCTGGCAGCCAGGCAACGTTCCATGCCAGCCAGGAGCTTTTATGTGGGTCCCATGGAGGTGCGAAGAGGTAAGTGAACTAACGTGAGTGGCCATTGTATGCCAGTCACCCTTCTAGATGTTTTACATGATTTACTCATTTGAACCCCAGCCAGGTCACTGTCTTCCCTTTCTTGATATTCTTCATGGGCTTCTTGTTATGCTTAGAATAAAATCCAAACTCTCTTAACACAAGCCCTATGGAATCTCTAAACGTGGCCTGCATTACCTTAACCAGACACTGCACTGCTTCTCACTCTGCCATCATCTGCTCTTACCCTCCCTACTCTACGATTAGGTTAAAGCTTTGCCCATGAATCTCAGAGTTCCCTTTTCAACCTTAAAACTGACCCATTGCGGTAACAGTGACTATGCTGTCTTCGTGTGGTGCTTTGCTTTTTCAAACTACATTCTTAGGTTGTTTCATCTGATCTTACTTCAGCCCATAATCTTTGGGCTGCCTTTTTCAAAGACAAGAGTATAGAGGGAACGAAATGCCAGGAAAACTTGACAGTTTATCAAAGAACATCCTTGCCAAACATCACATGCCAGTTGTGGGACTAACTCATACCTTCCTTTAAGCTTTAGATGTGTTCTGAAAAGCTTTGTTCAAATAGAGTTTGGCTAAACACACTCTCCTTAAAATGTGCTAAGAAGTTTCTGGGATCTTTGAAGAGAAATAAGTGGTTCTAATAACCACTGTGGGGAGGATAATTGGATAGCAATAGGACTGAGAGTGACTTTTCACTATATACCCTTTTGTGCCTTAAAAATTTTTTTAACCATGTGCTTGTCAAAAAACAATCCGACCATATGAGATGATTTGGAACAAAGAGGAAGAAAAAGAATTATTCCAAATCCTACAATAATCCTAAAACAACCACCTTGGGATTGCCATTGAAAAATGAATTCTGGGGGCACCTGGGTGGCTCAGTAGGTTAAGTATCCAACTTCGGCTCAGGTCATGATCTCATGGTTCACAGGTTTGAGCCCCGTGTCGGGCTCTGTGCTGGCAGCTTAGAGACTGGAGCCTGCTTTGTGGAATCAGTCTCCCTCTCTCTCAGCCCCTCCCTTGCTCATACTCTGTCTCTCATAAATAAATAAAAATAAGTAAGGAAACAAAGAAAGAAAGAGAGAAAGAAAGAAAGAAAGAGAAAGAAAGAAAGAAAGAAAGAAAGAAAGAAAGAAAGAAAGAAAGAAAGAAAGAAAGAAGGAAGGAAGGAAGGAAAGAAAGAAAAATGGATTCTGGAGTGGATGTTTTATAGAGCAGACAACCTAACCCTCCCTTTGAACCTCTTCTGTAAATAGGTATTCCAAATACGACTTTTATAGTAGGATATGCTTTTATTTACTGTTGTTAGTAAAAGAATTTCCTTTATGTAATCTTCATGGTTGTTCATTTTATTCCATCCCCATTTGGACAAGAGTAATACACACAAAAAGGAGATAACAACCCAGTCTCATCTCAAGCCTCACCCAAGCTCTTAGCACACCTGCCCCTCTAGCCCCACCACAGTTGGTACACGTGTGTCACATGCAGCAAGGATGGCCAGGAAGAATAAAGGAAATGCAGATGTACAAGTAGAATGGTCAGAATTTCCCAGTTGGTCGGATGTGGGGGTAAGGTAGATGGTAAGCTCAAAGATAATCAGGTTTCAAATATAAACAGGAGGCTAAGAGATTCCATTTTGGAATTAAAATTCCTGGATTCAGGTCTCATTTCTGCAGGTTGTTAGCTGCCTGATCTTCAGTAATGTTCTTAACTCACGGGCCTCGGTTTTCTCATCGATAACATGGGGATAATTTAGCGCCTATTTCACTAGGGTTATTGGACAGCTTAAGAGAGAGACTCCACATAAAGAAGTTAGCATAGTGCCTGAATGTTTTCCCCTTTAATTATTAATGGTGATGCTGTTTTTAAAGATAGAGAACATAAAAAGAGGAGCAGAGATGGGAGATGGTGATTTCCATTTAGACAAGCTAAGTTTGGAGTACCTGAGGGCTATGTATTCTGCAGCGTCCAGAAGGCAGAGATACGGGCCTGGGGTGGAAAGGGGCTCACCTGAGCTACAACAGGAGGAACCATCATGCCTCTGCCACTGTGACTTTGCATTCATTCTCTCTGTTCCCTACATGGTCTCAAAGCTCAGATCGTCTGACCCTGTGAAAATGTTTGATCACCTAGAAAGACCTGTGGTTGCTTATCACGGTGCACTTGGCTAACTGGAGAGTTTGTGTTTTTCCAACCCCGGGCATCAGGGCTGCTGTGTATGATTGTGTGTATTGCTCACTGTTGTAGGATGCCAGCCCCAAGGTGGGCAAAGGGTGAAATCTGGCCGTTTGCTACGCCCAAGCCATGAGCCCTTGGCTATGGACAGGTGGTGCTTCTGGCTTGGGAATGTTAGCCTGCTCCCGCAGGGGGGCTACCTGTTGTTTGTTTCAATATTGTGAGCCTCTGTTGAAATTGAATTCCATATGGTCAGTTTAAGTTCCTATTATAAGGACCATATCCTTGGGGCACTTAAATTTTTTTCTTTCTTATTGCAGATTATCAACGCTGTGGTACTGCTGATTCTGTTGAGCGCCCTGGCTGACCCAGACCAGTATCACTTTTCAAGTTCTGAGCTAGGAGGTGACTTTGAGTTCATGGATGATGCCAGTAAGTACATCAGATAGCAGTTGTAGATATTTTGGTACTTTCAAGGGCAGGGAATCCTGCTTCCAGTTCTTCCTGTTAAATTACAAATATTGATTCATGGGCCATTTGAACTGATACTTCACTTTCTTTCCATCGTTACAAATCAGATCAACAAATATTTATATGCTACGTGTGCTCTGCCTCTGTTCTAGGTGTAAGAGTCTGAATAAGGTCTCTTTTGTTTTTTTCTTTTTTTTCCTTCTTTACATTAACTTTCTCGTTTTTTAAATTAATGCTTTGTCCTGGTCTTTCTACCCTGGGCCTTTTGGCCTTTTTTAGAGGATGGGGAGTAAATGGCAGGAAACAAGGTCAAAAGAGTCATGCGTACCTTACTGTATCTTCTATTACTTTCTGTATTTCCCTGTCTTCTAGGAGATGATCATTTTCCATTCCAGAAACTGTGTTGCTCATTATTTAGTGGACTTAGGCCTTTCTCCAATAAATAGAAACACACACAGGGATGTGGGTGTGGGATATGCCAGAAGGAGGCTAGGCACCCCAGTTCTAAGCTCATGGGCATCTTTTATAATTACAGTCACACTGTGTCCACACTAACTGAAAGGGGCAGTACTGTGCATAATCCCAAACAAAAGATCATGCAAATTTAGTTCTCTTTGGCTTTGGAGAACTTTAAATGCATTAAAAAAAATGCTGGGGCAAAATGAGTAAGGTGGGGAGACAGTGACTCAAGATGCAGTTTTAGGGATAGACCGGGAACATTCGGAAGACGTTGAGGCTTGTGGGTTCTGTTCTCAGAGTGATAAAAATGCTTTTCAGTGGTTTTTAGTAATTCAGCAGTTATGTGCTGATGTATGTTTTACGGAGATCCCTTTTGTCACTGAGTGGAGGATGCATTTAGGAGATTGGTTTGCAGTGG